ACTCATGAATCTCTAACCAGAATAATCACTTGGGGGGGGGGGGGGGGATCACTGTAAAGCCACTTGATTGTTGATAAATCCATGCTGCTGATTTGTTTCATGCTGCTGCTCATTCATACTCATCTGCTCCCTCTTGTTTGTGCTGCTGTTCGGTGTAGTTTCTGTACTAGCAAGTGTTTAAGCATATTTTTAGTTTAGCATATTTCTTAGATCTTACTATTTTTCTTTACAATTTAGATTTTTGTTGGATGTAACTGGGACCCTGTGTACACAATTTTGTTCCACTACATGTACCACCTGTGAATGACAAATAAACCTTGACCTTATTTGCAGATGTGGCCACGTTGACATCACCATGCTGTGATTTCCAGTCTTCACTGGTGTCTTGGTGGTCTCTCTCACTATTCTCCTTGCACAATCACTCAGTTTGTGAAGACGGCTTGCTCTTACATTTAAATTTTCCATATTTCTTCCATTTTTTGAAGATGGATTTAACAACTCCTGGAGATGTTTAGGGCCTTGGAAATCACTTTATATCCATCCTCTTGCACTTCAAATTTTTTTTAATGAGCTGAATTAGGACAGTCTTTCTAAAAGGGGGTAAATATTTATGCAATCATCCATTTTAAATTGCATATTTTTTACACAGTCATTACTATGAAGAAATTTAATTTCACTTTGTCACTGAAAAGGTTTTTTTGTCATGTTGTATTGACCATGATGGATTTATGACAGCAGTAAAAGGGATCAATTCGACGAGGGTGAATACTTTTTACGGCAGCACGGTGATTTAGTGGTTAGCCCTTTTGCTTCACAGCAAGTAGGTTCTACGTTCAATCCCCGATGTGGACCTGGGGTCTTTCTGTGTGGAGTTTGCATGTTCTCCTCGTGTTTGTGTGGGTTTCCTCCCACAGTCAAAACATGCATGTTAGGCTGCCTTCAGACCCAGACCTCCCTTGAAAAAGAGATTTGCGATCTAAATGGGACTGATCAGGTTAAATAAAAGGTACAAATACTTATTACAAGCATCATCAGTCCAAAGGACCTGTAGAAGCTACACAGAACTGGACTCCATAGAATATGGGGAGGAAAAAGAACTTGCTTAAAGTGATTATTTGGATCTGACCTTCAAAGATAGGGGCACCCCCAATAACATTTTCAATGGGTGTATGGTGGCCAGTGGGGGCTAATGATAATCTGTGGGTGAATACTTTTTCAACATATCTTCCTAAGTAAAAAAGGCAACAAATACAATCTGAGGTAACAAGGCTTTAAAGAATGACGGCAAACAGCCTATAACACAAATCTAGAACTTTTATTTAACCAAAACAAAGACATGTTCAAAACATGCACATGTTCAAAGCAAAAACCACTTTTTTTTTTTTGCACACCATCAACTGACCTAAAAAAATAAAAAAATCAAATATCTAACAAAACATGAAATTCTTCCAGATGTGTGGCCGTTTCTTAGAACAGATCTGAAACAGCAGCGCATCAATAAAGAAACCTAAACAAGCAAAAATCCACTGAGCCGTTTGGACAATTCTCACTGAGCCGAGGCATTTTACCCAGATGAACAACAAAAGTGAATATTAGCTCAAACAAGAGGAACTTTTAAAACAAACAGCAGCAACGAGTGCTCAACACAAATAAATCAAACTTATCTGCACTGGTTCGATTAAAGGTAAAACAAATCATGAACTTCAAATCTGAGCTCACACAAAAGAAAGATGGCGTCAGTCGCTCCTCTGGATGCTGCTCAGCCTGCAGGGTGTCAGGAGCATCTTTGATCAGAGAAGGTCGGTCAACTTGGACAGCTGGGCCTCTAAAAACATCAGGAAAAATACAAAAAAGTTCTGAGATACTGAAAGCAACTAGGAAACCATCAAATTCTGAAAAAGCAGAAATTTGTATATACAGGTCCGTCTCAAAAAATTAGCATATTGTGATAAAGGTAATTATTTTCAATAATGTAATGATAAAAATGAAACTTTCATATTTCAGATTCATTGCACACCAACTGAAATATTTCAGGTCTTTAA